TATTGTATTTAGAAATATATTTGCCTTCATCAAAATACATGTTCTGATCAAAATAGAAAACAGAAGTAATAAACCAGGTACAGTAAAGAAAAGCACTGCTATATTTAATATATAATACCCAAACCAGTAGCTAACTTTAGATAGTTAATAGCTAGCTTAGTCCAAAACAGGCAGCTTCTCTCTTTCAAAAGCTATTCTGCCTCAATGGAATAAGCAAGACCAGACCAGCCAGAAAGAACATTTATTTATTCAGTCTTGATACAAGTCATCTTTACATTAAAGGTTCTGTGCAAAAAAAAAAAAGGCGTAAGTGATATGGTGTCAACACTTAGGAGGCTTGCATTCACAGGCCATTGCTAATTATATATGGAGTTTGGTGCTTGGACCCTTCTTGCACTATTTTAACTCACACAAGATTCAAATGTACTTAGCTCCGTCACTAAATAATATTTGTATGGTCAAATATGTAAGGCAAATGATAGTTAAAATATAACTTGCCCATTTAAAAACAGGGTCCTTTTTTCAATCAAAAGTAATTTTTAAATTTTAAAAAAAAACAAGAAGTACAGTTTTGTCTGAATCAGATTCAAATGAAGAATGTAAAGGAAAATTAAAATGAGCTGTGCCAGTAAAATGTTCCACGTTTCCTGTCTTGTCTTCTATGCCCCCCTTCTGTTAGGATCATCTATAGCTAGCAAAAATAAGCTTGAAGCTGGTGCCTCTGGTGCAAAAACGGGATTTCCCAGCACAGAAAGCTGCTTTGCTTTAAAGTCTAAACCCTGCGCTGGTCCACTGCAAACACCCCCGCCCACTTGGAGGAAGCTGAACAGGCACTTTCAAAGCTGGGATTATGTGCCCTTGCTTGCAAAACCACATGCCTAAATAACATGGGTGGGGGAGTTCCTGATAATATAAAGATGGACAGAAGGACCATTTAGAGCGTCCTATTTTCACACTCCCCAATAGGCCAGAGGAGCAGGAAGGAGAAAAATATGCTGCAACTGAACTGCAACATCAGGCCTTGAGTTCAGGAACTAAGAGGCATTGCAAACCGACCACAGCCAATGCTTGAGAAAAATGAGGAAGTTGAAAAGAGAGAACACAAATCAAGCTTTGCAATGAGTTTCACTTTTTAGGCTAGAAAATATTTCTTGTCCCTCTTCCCTGGCATCCGGCCGGCATAAGCCCATTAAGGGAGGTTGTTTAAGAAAGATCGGTGTAAGGTGCAAGCAAACAGAACCACTCCTGAATAGGCCCAAGTAGATATTTTATTGGTGGTCACCTGTGTTACAATAATCTCACTAGACTGTTAGCCTTCTCTTGGAAAACAGATTTGACCTCAGACGTTTCCTCCTCCAACTGGACTCCAAACTGGGATACCCCTTTGTTCCCCCTAGAGCAGGGGTCTTCAACCTTAACAATTTTAAGCCTGGAGGACTTCAACTCCCAGAATTCCCTAGCCAGCTCTGCCCTAGAGGGCACCCTCTCCTTCAGCCAATGATTCCACCATATTTGGGGGACTGTTGTAATAATAATAATGACGTGAATATTGACTTTCTTTTTTAAAAAAAATTTTTTACTTGGGAGTTCTATGTAGGACTTGGAAGTTCTATGGAGGATGGGTTAAAACTTTCTTTGAACCCTGACCACAAAGAATGAAAGCAGAGCTACTGCAGTATTCCAGAGGAACCCATGGCTCTCCAGATCAGTGTTTCCAGTGTTTCTCAAACTTAGCAACTTTTAAGATGTGGGCACTTCAGTTCCCAGAATTCTCCAGCCTGCATGGGAATGAAACACTGCTCAGCATGGCTGAATACCCAGCAGTCTAACTGGCATGTGGAATGCCAGTGAGTTGTAACTCGCCTCATCAGGAGGATCACAGGTGTCTTCCCTGACTCATTTACAAACTTCTTGCCACCATATTTAATCCAGAAGTGCCAAATAATTAATAGTTTATCACTAAATAACCAGGTTTCTTTTTGTCCAGGGCCAGTCAAGTTCCCGCCCTCCCCCATGGATTGGAAATGTGGGAGAACTACAGAAAGGAAGTTGGAAACAACTTTCCTTACTTTTCACATCACTGTTCTTATTGCAATTGATTAATGCATTCATATTTTGGGATACGGGATCAAATCCCCACTTAATCAAAAAGCTGCCATTTCACAGTTAACTTAGGTCACAAGATTGCAGTGGGTTAAAAGTGTGGGGGGGCTGTTAGTCACTGCTGTAAACATCCAAAGGAAATTTGGATTATAAATATTAAGGCAGCTACTTCATTATTAACATCCTTTTGCCTAATGTTCCTTTTTTAAGAAGTTTGTTGTTTTATATTTTTATTAATTATGGCTGATTATGTAAATTTGATAAATACCAAAACGAACAAATGGAATTCTTCAAGTACCAGTCTTTTATTTCTGAAAAAAAGTTTCTAGAACACACAAAACTACCTACTGAAACCCAGAAGCATTTGCACATACTGGTTCTTGTAACACAAGTTACATTAAACATTTTGAAAGTGAAATGCAGTTGCTGAACAAAACACAAGGGATATGCACTTAAAATCATCATTTAGCTGCTGGTTCCACGTGCCCACCTCCAGCAGGAAAGCAGAATAAAAACTAGTGTAACCAGGAAAAAGGATCCATTACATTGAAAAATGAGTTTTAGTAACTGATCTTTTCACTAATACTCCAGTCAGGACTGTTGAGTTGTTCATTTTTGACAATAACAGGGTTTTGTTGCTGGAGACATTGTGGGTCCAAAATCAAAGCAACTCTATATTCAGCATAAATTATCCACTTACGTATCTGGTAAAATTTTGCCTAGTGGCTATTTCAAATTGAAGACAGATGTAAATTCACATTCAAAGGATGATATCCCAAGGCTTAGCTTTGATTATTACATAGTGTTTTGCTAGTCCACAAAATGTCTTGGAATGATGTGTTTATTATAAAATACTTACACATTTGTTCTCATTTATTTCAATTTCGTATCTTAACAAATATAAAATAACAAGATGAAATAAGGTATCCATTACAAATACCAACCTTCTGGGAGAAGTCACTCAGAAGAACAATGAAAGAAAAATGTATTTTTTAAAAAGACTCCTTTAAAAAAAAAAGGAATGATGAAATATGCTTAAAGCGTGGCCTTTACATACCAAAATTCCAAGCCTCAGTTATTCCCTGATAAGATCTAAGTTGGAGAAGAAAATGAAGCGATTTTGGCATCATGCTGGGCTGCTCAATGAAATGCCAGTCTAATCTGTAGTTGCTAAAATGGCTAATTCTATGCCTGCAATAATCAGCATTAATTAGAACTACCAATGTAACAATTCTGTCATGTGGCTCTATGGTGAAATTGTATTGGGGAATAATGTGGATACTTTCGATTATCCCACTTTAAAAATACATTACAGAGGTTATGATTAGAAGGCTAGAGCAGTTCCTCTTCAAGGAAAACTTAGTTTTTTAGCTTGGAATGAAGGTTAAACAAACACAACAGAAAATCATGCACGATGCGTATAATATGGGGACGAAGTAGGTTCCCCCCCTCCCTTCTCTGATAATGTCACCGAAACTAGATGCAGATAGGTTGAAGACTGGCTGAAGGTCTATCGTACAGTGAAACCAGTGAATTCACAGCTGGCAGTTATGGTAATGGCGGTCAGTTTTGATGGTTCTAAAGGGGGACAGGTTCATATGGAGAACCAATAACTACTAATATTGCAGGTTGTTTATCAAATCCTAAATCGCAGCCACCACCCATCAACACTGGCTGTTGGAATCAACAATGGAAGGGAATTTCCAGTCCAAGCTTGTGAGCCTCTCAAGTGCACCCAGCCAGCCACCATGTAACACAGAATGCAGGATTAGATGGGTTGAAGGCATGATTTACTATGACATGATTGCACAGGACAGAAGCCATTGTAGAAAAGAGCCAATTCATTGCCAGTGGAGGTGCATCCTGCATCCAAACCCATCAAGATCATGTGTCTTCAAGACTGGGATAACTGAAGATTTATTCATTCATTTAATTTATACAGCCACCCATCACACGTACTTGTACCTGGTGCTTTAGGCTGCAAAGAGAATGCGACATTTTGAAGCTGTCCAGCCTTTAAAAAGAAAAATCTTGCATAAATTGTAAAGAAGTCACAACATCTATGCAATATTAGACTAACATGCAGTATCATTAATTGTTTCATTTACTCTTTCCACTCATCATAGCAGATAAAAATGCTGGCCTCTGAGCAGAATATCTCCTCTCATATACTCCCATCCTGGTTTGAAGATTTTTCCAAATACATACATGCATAACTGCACCACACTGTTCTCTCTTTTGGTTCAGTAATAATATGTAAAGCAAAGAAAATAACTAAGAAATAGTAAGCAAAAGAACTTAAAAAGCATAAGATGAGATAGTTATATTTGATACCTGCTAATACCATTCGTTATTCCTCACCATCTCTCTGCAAATTATCATTGCTTTAACTATCTTCATACCCTGCTTCATGCAGTGCCTTCTGTTTTTTTAGGATTTAGCCATTTTGAATTGTATTTATTTGACTTGTATCCCATCTTTCAGTCTGGATTTTGGTGACATTAACAGCATTCTCTACTCTCAGATTTCCCAACTACCTTGTGAAGTGGGTCAAGCTGGGAGAAAAGTGACTGGCCCTAAACCACCAGAGGTTGAAGGTGGACTAGAAACTGGTAATAGAATAGAACAGAACAGAACAGAACAGAATAGAATAGAATAGAATAGAATAGAATTCTTTATTGGCCAAGTGTGATTGGATACACAAGGAATTTGTCTTGGTGCAAATGCTCTCAGTGTACATAAAAGAAAAGATACATTTGTCAAGAGTCAAGAATCGTAAGGTAGAACACTTAGTGATAGTCATAGGGTACAATAAGCAATCAAATCATACTAGGAAACAGTTAATATAAATCGTAAGGATACAAGGGACAAAGTTACAGTCATACAGTCACAAGTGGGAGGGGATGGGTGATAAAGAGTGATGAGAAGATTAACAGTAATAGTAGTGCAGACTTTGTAATAGTTGAACAGTGTTGAGGGAATTATCTTTGCTCCTAATCCAATACCATAACCACCAAGCACCTCAGCTCTCAAGCCCAGTTTTACCTCCAAGCAGCTGATACTGTTCTGCATGAAATAGGATTTCTAGTCTAAAGGCTACTTTGAAAGCCAAGATACAGCTGTCTATGTTCCACTGATTAGATGGTACATGCAGGATATAAACAGCACTTCCACTTCCCAAGTTCCTTTGCCCCTCTGATCCTTAATGGAACGCTGAACTCAGCAGAGTGACCAAATCACCCTCCCTCACTCATTCATGCCTAGGCCTTGAAATCTGAACACTATCACTGTTTCCAAGCAATAAATTGCATTCCTAATCTGAATACAGATAGTCCTCGATTTACAGCCATTCATTTAGTAGCCATTCAAAGTCACAGTGGCACTGAAAAAAGTGACTTACGAAAGTTTTTCCACTTATGATCATTGCAGCATCCCTGTAGTCACGTGATCGAAATTAGGACATTTAATTGGCATATATTTATGACGGTTGTAATGTCCCGAGGTCATGTGATCACCTTTTGCGATCTTTTGACAGGCAGAGCCAGATTCACTTAACTAACTTAACTGTTACTAATTTAACTGTTACTAACTTAACAACTGAAACAATTCATTTAACCATGGCAGGAAAAGTTGCAAAATGGGGCAAAGTTAACTGTTTTGCTTAATAACAGAAATTTTGGGTTCAATTGTGGTCATAATTCAAGGACTACCTTTATAATAATGTAGACAGTACAATAATTTGGATGATAGCACACTTCTACTTTTCCTAATTTCCACATCTACCATATATCAGTATATCCCAAAGAATTGGAAAAGAGAAGCAGAATGAAACAGAAAACGTATTTCCAGCAGTAACTTGCCATTTCTTTATAAGCTAATAAAAAATGTATAGTCGAGAGTCACACAAAAGTGTCACAGCCATTCTTTAAGCACTGATAAAAAAAAATAAAGGAAATCTGACAATGAAATAATGAAGTAATTATCAATCAACAGATATGTGCAGTTGGCTTTTGCAGAGAAGGTAATGCAACTTCCATGAAGTTCAGAATGCTCTGAATAACAAAACACATTGAGAGTAAATGTTGGAAAACAGAAGATGAGGTAGGTCAGAAGTCAGATTTGTGAAGGTGTTGTTTGATTAGAAGAAATCTTATGCCTACAAGCAGGATGTAGGAAGGAGGAATGCATTTTGTTATAAAGAGTAGTCAAAATGACTTCAGTCCTTCAATTCTTTCTACTTACGGCTAGGCAAGAGAGATACAATCAACATATTTTAAATACGCAACAACCTGATCATTGGAATCCATATTCAGACTACCAACCCTTGCACCAAACTATTCAGCAACATCAGCAACAACGGTGGGTAGAAGACTGGAGCAAGGACCGTATCTAAGTTTCTTCTTGCTGCTGCCTGTTCCTAAAGTCTAAAATTCTTTCAGGATTACATCCCAAAGGCCATCAGGGTGAAAAGGCAGCAGCCAAAATCAACGAGGCTCAATGTCTCTTTTGAGCGATCCTGACAGCCTTTTGAAGTTGTTCTGCTGGCATGAGTTGGAGAGTGTCCAAGGCATGAATGAGCTGCTCCCGGGCATTGCCAATAAAAGTATTGCTGAGGAACATTGGGAGGCCCCCAACACCATCACGCAGAATATAGAGGGGAACGCGGATGAGACCCATCACCTGAACCATTAGAGGGTAGAAAATCAGGTTAAAATAAACTCTTAGGGAAACTTGTCCTCTTTCTGCTGTCCCCACCACCACCTCACTCAAGAAATCCCAACTTCACAATGTGTGGGTTTACCGCAAAGCTGCAAAGCTTTGAAAATGCTCAATGTCTAATACTGACGTTCAATTTCCACTTCATTTTTTTTTTGTTCTAAATGTTTTAGTTGATACACCTACCAAAATATGTTCACAGGCATTTGAACAAGACTTGATAAAATCTTAGCAAAGGTCCCAATGTTCAGAGTGGGCTTACAGAATACTATTCAGCTTCCTTCTTATACACCCCCACCCCCGTTTAGTATCACCAGAATATTGTGTTAAAAAAACTAAAAAATGAGTGGGATTATTATTAGTCAAGAAAAATAAGACATTGTCAACTTTGCCCAGAGGGCAATTGTCTGGGAGCAATTGTTTTTATACTGGCTCCCAACAACTCTCTTAATTTCCCACTTCCTCTGCCTTGCCCCTTAAACGCACCTCAAATCCATGGTCTTTTGCCTGAACAGCCCCTTCCTCTATCATTCGGAACTCTTCCAAGCTAAGCTGCTTGGCATAGAAATGCATCACCACTCTCTGTGGCTGCTCAGAAGCATGGGAGCTCAAGTAGTCCTTCTCAGCCAGGTGGAGGGAGGCAGCCCCAGAGCCCAACTCTTCACACAGTTCTCGATTTAGTCCCTCTTCCAAGGAAATATCCCGGGGATCCACAAACCCACCTGGAAATCCCAGCCGACCATCAAACCTCATCTGCATCTGGGAGAGAAAAGAAGAGAATCAGACTGAGGGGTTCTATGCACTCACCCTGAAGACTACAGATGTAGGGGTCCTTTTGTTTGGCTCTAGTCTATCCTTCTCCCTGTATCCTTTCTTGTATCTTTATAAGATGAAATCTCCCTACCTCTGGGGGAGCTCAGAAACAGGGGGTTTTAACTTTGTGATTTCTGGGACTTTTTGAACTTGAATAAAAAAGAAATTCAATTTTATTTTCCTTGACCTCTAAATAAGTGTAACTGCTTTACATACGTTTTTCTGAAAAAAGATTCATAGATTTCATCAGATTCTCAAAGGAATGCATGGTTAAGTTTAAGAATGCCTACTCTAAAGCAGGGGTCGCCAACCTTTTGGACCTCAGGGACCACCAAACTCATAATTTTAGATCCCAAGGGCCACTAATCGGTTCTATGGGTGTGGCCTAATTTGTGGGTGTGGCTTGGTGGTCATATGACTGGCTGGGCATGGCTTGTATGTAAATATTATAAATATTTATATAAATATTGAATTTTTTTTTATAAAAAAGAGCAACTTTTACTCAAAATCAGGCAAAGCAGGCAGGCAGATTGAGTTACACACAGAATCACAGATTCATTCAGAAATCTATCTATCTTCCATTGGCTAGCTCAATCTGTCACATAAATTTTGCTTGTACGCAAACTCATAAAATTAACTCACAACACACCATGTTTGTAAATATTGATTTTTTTTTATAAAAAAAGCAATTTTTACCCAAAATCAGGCAAAGCAGGGAGATTGAGTTGCTCACAGAATCATTCAGTGATCTATCTATCTGCCATTGGCTAGCTTAGTCTCTCAAATTTGCTTGCCGTGAGTCTGCACTGAATTTGCTTGCAAGCAAACCTTCAGTCCTAAGGGAAGCAGAGCCGAAGATCTAAAGACTAGCTAGAAAGCAAGAAATCGATTTTCTGCTTCCTAGTTAATCTAAATCTCCCAGCACAGCAGAACAGATGGTCAGAAAAAGGAAAAATAGCAATTTAGCAGGCAAGTTTACCGGGTAAGGAGTGAGTAGGCGGGAGCTTTCCTGCGGGCCATGTGGGTGGTGCAGCCTTGTGTTTCTGTGCAGCCTGGATTAATTGCTTTGGGAGATTTCTCTGTGGCCCACCAAAAATTTCTCGCGGCCCACCGGTTGGCGACCGCTGCTCTAAAGGACCCATTTGTCATTGTCACCATTAAATACTGTACTTTTCTGGTTTAGGAATACTTTGGTTTTTCCTCATCTATTTCTTTTGTTGGATTTCTAAGGAAGTAAGGCAAAATGTAGAGAAGACAGAGCTGTGCAATCAATTTGTTAAAATTTAAAGAAGGAATTGAAGTGACTTTTATTAAATAAATGGCTATTTAAGATTATAAGTACTATTACACCATATCTATAGGCTGCCAAACAGAATTGTTGCAAGACAGGTTGCTTATAAGTCTTCTTTTCTTTCGTCTCCTACTTGTTAGTCTGACAAATGAACATTTTTCAAGACTGGAACTTCCAGGACCATTATTCTGTCCCTACCTTTCAAAACCCACTTGGGTTTTTAAAGAGTACAAATATTGTACTTCAGTTTCTCCCTCCAAAATATATGGAGCTGGAGGAAGCAGCCTGCATTGTCTTGCTTTGATTGGCAGTTTCATCACTCAATCAATACAGAGCCTCCTTATACGCGGGTGGCAAGGCCTCCAAATAAGCACTATCTGACTTATTTGTTCACTTCTTCTCCATCCAGGGACACCTTCTGTATTTTCCTGGTAAAAACATGAAAGTTGCATCCCCACTACAACCACATTTTCAAGATACAAGATTTAGATGTGACCAAATTTAGCCAAATATCTACATCAAAAATATAGTCCTTGGCATTAGATACATTTACACATATATTTATATTCTGTATATGCACAAACACACACACAGAGTGTGTGTTTCTGAAGCTGAATTAACATATTTAACTCCAAATATTTCTAAGGATTTTGGAACAATTGTACTGGCTATATGGAGCGATAAAAGAGGTGTCTTCCCCTAACAGTACACGCACTTATTGTGAGCCCTTTGCAAAAGATATTATACAACAAACATGCCCAAGAGGTCCAGAGACTCACTAACTCCATACTTCAGAAGTGTTATCCCTTTTTAAAATAAAATGTCTCAATCTGAAAAGGTGCTACCAGACTTCTGAGTTCTGGCGACCATGGAGTGATATGGTTCTCCTCTTTCCATAACCCCAAACTGTTAAACTGCACTACTCTTCTTGAACTAAAAATTAAGGTGAGTATGAATTAGGCTATGCCAGAAATCTTGCACTACAACACCACTTTCGCCAGGAACTTCCTTGGTCAGGACTGTGCAACCTTTTTCTGGCCAAGTAGATGTTTGACCACTGAAAAGGACACTCTTAAGAACTGGGCAAAATTAAGATAAAACCAAACTGAGCTTAATTTTAATGAAAAGTAACAAATAAATTACAGAATGTATGATAACATACATTCCCTATATTTGACAATGTTCACTTTCAATCACATTAGAGTATAACATACTATTTGGAAACCTCTGGAAGGTCCATGTGGCTCTGGGGTTCTACCCCTTTGTACCTCTGCCTCCTTTCAGCAACATATAGAGGTATCCTTGCTTTACCTTACTCTTGAGGTGATAATTACAGCCAAACAATGTCCATGAAAGAATTGTTCTAAACTTTGGAAAAGGCAACATAAATGCTAATTAATATACCCGAAGAGAAAAGTTTTTGATCAGTGTGTGCTACCTGCTCTAATATATGCCAGTGAAACATGGACCCTAACCTCACAACCAATACAAAAGCTATGAGTGGTGCAAAGAGCCATGGAAAGATACATGCTCAGCATTCAAGACAAGAGAGAAAGACCTGCCCATGGATTAGAGAACAAACCAAAGTATACCATATCATCAAGAGAGTAAAAGAATTGAAATGGAAATGGGCTGGTCAAATAACAAAAACAAGTGATGGCAGGTGGATCCGGACAGTCATAGAATGGATCCCTCTTGATAAAAAGCATCCATGAAAGAGAATTAGAACAAGATGGATCAACGACATCAGCAAGTATTGCAGACCCAATTAGCAAAAGAAAGCTCAGGACTGTTGTATTGGTTGAAACATGCGGAAGAGGGCTTCATCCTACAGTGGATAGACAATGGCGAAAATGATGATGAAGATACCTGAATAGACTAGGCAGGGCTGGACTGTTAAGATAGAGGCTCAGAGTTTGTAAAGATGTCACACCACCTAGCGTCCTCTCAGTACATGTAGTCCTCAACTTACAACAGTTCAATTAGTGACCATTCAAAATTACGGCACTGAAAAAAGTGACTTATGACTGCTTTTCACACTTTTGAACATTGCAGCATCCCCATTGTCACATGATCAAAATTCAGACACTTGAAAACTGGTTCATATTTATGATGGTTGCAGTGTCCCAGGGTTATGTGATCACCTTTTGGAACCTTCTGACAAGCAAAATCAATGAGAAAGCCAGATTCACTTAGCAACCATGTTACTAATTTAACACCTGCAGGGATTCACTTAACAACTCTGGCAAGAAAAACTGTCGTAAAATGGGGAAAAACTCACTTAACAACTGACTCACTTAGCAACAGGAATTTGGGGTTTCAGTTGTAGCTGTTAGTCGAGGTCTACCTGTACTATAGCTACAAAAATCAGATCAACCACTAGATGGAAACAAAGAAATGTAGAAAGGCTCAACTGGTTGCTACCATCTCCTCATCATTCTGATATCTGCATCCCAGATGTTAGCAATACAGGTGTATGACACTCACTAGTAAAAATACATTCTAGTAAAAAGTGTCCATCCCATTCCAGATTTTCTATATTTTCTCACAACTTATTCAGATCAAGTATCCATCTTCAGAGCATTAATATACCTGGAACAGATTTTATCAATAGTTTACTGATTTTTTTAAGGGTCTCTGCCTGGAACAAGTAGCCCATTAGAGGTAAGCATCAATTCCTAACGTTCCTGATACGCTCTTTTCTTTTTCTTTCCCTACTCAGGAGATTCTCCCCCCACCCCCAGTTGGCTAAAATCAATCCTCACCAACACTGCGAAACGCAACGGGATCTTGCCAAAAAGCCGGCTGGGGTTGGGCGCGTATAAAAGGGCATGACAAGCGTGCTTCCAGTCGGGTGGTCCGAGGCTCTGCGCTTCGGCCTTAGTTAGAGCCCGAAGTTCACTCATCTCCCCCGGCTGTAGCGCCCTGGGCCGTAAGCCTTGAAGTCGCAGCCTTGTTTGAAGATCCACCTTCCGGCGCCGGGAGAGGAAAAGATCCCGAGCGAAGCGGCTGCCGATAGACCTTAAGGGCGAATTCCCCCTGCAGCCAATCAGATATTGAGAAGGAAGGTGGAACGCTGAGCTACCGCTTGGTGGCCTTTCCGGCCGTTTTATATGGTTGGTCAAAAGAGGGCGCGTCAAGGCAAGCTTGGATGTGACCACACTAGGAGGAGAATCTCGCCGTTTCATTTTTCCCTCCCTCGGTTTATCTCCGATCCACCATTTTGCCTTGAAGGTGCAAAACCGAAACGCACCCTGAACATCTGAGGCAGAGGCGTAACTAAGCGACGTTGGATCGTTTATGGGTTATATATTGTTGCTTAACATCGGAAGGGACATTTCGTTTATCAATTGCAGGCCTATTTCGACCTTCTTCTGAACAATCCCCATGCTCAGCAAGGCGCAAAACCCAAGACTGTTCTGTGCTCCTTCCTGAGTTTTCACTGTTAGGAATAGAGAATAAATAGGTCTCTTGAATTGGAATTTAGGCAGTGATTATTACTAGGGTTCCAGGTGTGGAGTGCTCCCAAGGCAAGTCCATTCAGATGAAATCACACTTGTTTCATCAGTAAACATCCACCTGTCTTCATAAGAAAACCTGGAATTATGTATAAAATAGTTGAATGCAAATGCACGCTTACATTTCGTATCACTGAAAATAATATTTGCAAATTAGCATTTTAAGGAATAATCAGGATAAGATTCTAAGGGAAAAGTGAGCTGGAATACAGTTGAATGAGTACCACTGAATATGGGTAACTGAAAACTTTCCATGCATAAAGAATTTTAAACACATCATCAAAAAGAATTTTTTAAGATCTCCTTAAAAGATACCAGCTATCAAATAAACTTTTCTTCACAGGCTATCTTTGTTCCTCTAGACAAGTAGCTTAAGGCAGCATGCAGTATCTAGCTTTCCTGGTTTTTTTTTTTTTTCATTTCACAGAATTCAGGACATCCTTTATTGGATCTGTTGAATCTGTTTCATACCTTTCCTGAAGCCTCTGGGCTCCCATGACCTATACATTATTTGGAGGTGTGAGAAGGTACAAATGCTTTATGTGCTGCCTTGCCACTATTGCAATGATTGAAGCGAGTTGAATGAATGGGTTCAATTCCAGCTACTTTCTCCTCCATTTTACTCATGACATCACTGGTTTTTCAAATTACTGTAAATGTTTAACATCGTTCCTTTTTCCAAATCTTTGTATCCCGTTTCCAAAGACGAGGCTAATCTCCAAGGTCCTTCTCAAGCATGTATTCTCCAGATTTTGAATAGTTATGTCTAGCCCCCTCTGATTTGGGGGGGGGGGGGGGGGTTTTTTTTTTTGGGGGTGCTATCTTGGTCAGTCCTGACTTCTGGCGACTGCCTGGACAAATCCTAGAGCAGAGGTCCCCAACCCCTGGACCACCTCCGGGTCTTGAGCTCTTCCGAACCAGGCCTCAGAAGTGGTGGGCGAGTGCGCACACATTCCCCACTTGCATCAACAGTGGGCAAGTGTGTGTTCCATTTGCTCAAGCAGCAGGCACACATGCTTGTCGCTCGTGCAAATGGAGCTACATGCATGTGCCCAACCATCCCCTCCCCCCTCCTGCTGGTCCACAAAGCCAGAAAGTTTGGGGAACTCAACCAGTTCACTTGTGAGATTTCAGAAGTGGTTTGCCATTGCCTACTTCCTAGGGTCATGAACGACCGGTTCAAAGTCACCCAGCTGGTTTTGTGTCTTAACAGGACTAGAACTCATGGTCTCCTGGTTTCTAGCCCGATGCTTGAGTAGTTTAATGCTGTAATATTTATATTTTCTTTCTTCTGGTTTTATATACTCCAAAGCTGTTGTAACAAAGGATTGAGCAGTTAAAGAACAACAATAGCAGGGTCATTACACCTATTTGGATTCGTAACAATGGGAACACTGGTATGTAGTGAGAATGCAACACAAGGTGTACCCTCATGTGCTGAATAGTATGTGACTGGCCCAACTCCATCTCCAGTTTGATAGCATTAGTTTGCTATGGCTATTTTATTTAGAAAAAACAGCACATTTGTATTTTCTGGTTCTAAGTTCTTCTAAATTGAATGCATGTTTTGGTGACTGATGAATGGGGAAGTCACCTTGGCTTCATCTCCCAAAATTAGTGCAAACAGAACATTCCAGGTGAGTACTTCTCTATCCTGTGTGTCCAATTACTCTTGGCCCAATTTAAACAAAAGCCTTTTGTGTCAAGAAACACATTTAAGTTTACAAATGTTCTATTTCATTTATTGTATATATAGGTAGTCCTCGACTTACAAGTTCATTTAGTGACCGTTCAGTTGCAACAGCACTGAAAAGTGACCATTTTACGACCATTTTTCACACCTATGACCATTGCAGCATCCCCAAGGTCATGGGATCAAAATGTAGATGTTTGGCGACTGACTCATATTTGTGATAGTTGCGGTGTCCTGGGGTGATCCTCTTTTGTGACCTCCTGATAAGCAAAGTCAATGGGGAAGCCAGATTCACTAAACAAACATGTTAGTAACTCAACAACTGCAGGAATTAACAACTGTGGCAAGAAAGGTCATAAAATCTAGAAAAAAATCAGTTAACGAATATTTCGCTTAGCAAGAGAAATTTTGGGTTCAATTGTAGTAAGGACTACCTGCAGTAAGTTTTAAAGTGAACAAGTTTTAGAGATTTACCCTTTGACCCAGCTACACTTCAGAATGTGGGATATGTACAAAGCTGACCTCCCACTCACCCCACCTACCTTACAGTAAGCACTCACCTGTCGTCCTTTAGATTTCTAGTGGCAATATGAAATTAAGCAGACACAGTACCTTTCATCCCATTTCCTGCAATGTTGTTTTTACCCACTGCCCACCAGCTTTTCCACTGGTGAAAGCTGCAGACGCTAAGACAGCAGAAGAATTTGCACAAGTCCTTTTTCACTCACTTCTGCAAGAGTTTTTAAATTTATTAAATGTGTTTGCCAACCTCCCGCCATGAGGAGACTCTGCTGATAAATGGCAATAATCTCTATAAAAGGTGGCACCCTTGACTAGAAAGATTAACTAGAAGGGGATAGGGAATGAGCCAAGACAGTCACATTAAACACACCCACAGCTTTCAAGGCGACTTCTCCACAAGCCATAACACAAGACACCTGGTTCCAAAAGTTTTATTTCCAATCCATCTGTAGTGGTCCAACCCCTGGCCAAGGACGACACAAGTCCAATCGCTGGAAAGTGAAGAGCACAGCCAAAGACCTTGCTAGGAGGCCGAGTCGGAGGCCTCTGAGCTGTCCTTGACATCTGTGCTCTCTGTGGCCTCACTGACCTCACTGACGTCCTTGCTGTCCCCACTGTCTTCAGCTCCAGGTCCAGTGCCCACAAGAGTCCCTGGGCATCTATCATCCCGGCAACAGTCACCCACATGGTTAGTCTTGTGATCACTGCCCTTGTTCTCAATGGAGCCCAGCACAGGAAGCACAGAAAGCACAGAATGCTTTCCCTTCTCTTTCAATTCCACCTGCCTTCGCAGCTGTGAAGAGGAGATGCTTGTTTTGAGTACAGTATTCTATCCAAGGATGGCATTAGAGAGGTACGATTATACAGTTCTTAGACACATGGAATCAGCAACAAAAAACACACCCACATTATTAACCTCCTGTTGCCTCCAAGGGTAATCCTGTATATTTCAGGACAAACAGAATGCCAAAATCTGAAAAGCAGCCATGGGGACTGGTTTGTATGTTATTAGTTCCTGTTCACAATTCTATAGCCAGACAGTCCTTTCACAGAAAGGCATGGTAATAGGGTTCTAAAGAATTTGATGACGAATGCACAGATGCTGAGGTCAATTGTTTGGCCTTAGCCAAATTAACAGCAAGAGAGGCAAAACAAAACAGGACATGTTTTTCCCCACTCTAGCAACATAGAAGCAAAAATTAAGATGAAACTTTGTGTATGATTCTGCTTGTTTAATTAGAGTACTGGAGACCACAAATGTTTATGCCACAATAGTTTGGTTAGCCTTCACGGTGCCACATGTCTCTTTGTTGTTTTAAGTTCAAAGTCAGGACTAGCTGACTTTGCCTGGTATTAAAAAAAGCAAAGCAAGCTTGGTCTTGGTTAGTACATGTTTAAGAAATCCCAAGGCTTTCTAAGCTATATAGCAAAGTTGGGGGGAAAAATCCTTCCAAAAAGCCACTACAAAATAGTCCTCGACTTACAGGTATTTGTTTCGGCACGGAAAAAAAGTGACTAACGATTGTTTTTGCACTTATGATTGCTGCAGCATCCCCATGGCCAAAATTCAGCCACTTGACAACTGATCCATATTTATGACACTTGCGGGGTCCTGGCATCATGTGATCATCTTTTTCAACCTTCTGACAAGCAAAGTGAACAGGGAAGCCAGGTTCACTTAACAATTCTGCCATGCATTACTAATTTAACAACTGTAGTGATTCACTTAACTGGCAAGAAAAGTCACACAATGGAGCAAAACTCATTTGGCAACTGTCTTGTTTAACTATAGAAAATTTGGGTTCAGTTGTGTCATAAGTCGAGGACTACCTGTACTGTTATTAGCAAACAACCTGCATGAATGTTTCCCTTTAGGAATCAAAATCAACTCAAGGGAGTCCTTATCCATTTTTATAAACCAATAAGGCATTTCCAGAATATATCAAATCTAGCCCAAGGTGAGAGAAAAACAACTAGATGCTACAGCTTTCATACAAATATCCCTTTCTAGGCTGCTCAGCCCACTTTCAGATTATTGAGAACTTGACTATGAAGAAATCGCTTATTCAGAGATACAAGTAATCCTCAACTTATGACAATTGCCCAAAATTTCTGTTGTTAAGTCAGACATTTTAAAGTGAGCTTTGCCCCATTTTACAACCATTCTTGCCTCAGTTGTTAAGTGAATCACTGCAGTTGATAAGTTAGTAACCCAGTTGTTAAGTGAATCTGGCTTTCCCGTTGATTTTGCTTGTCAGAAGGTTGCAAAAGGTGACCTTGGGACACAG